AAGAAAGAAAGAAAGAAAGAAAGAAAGAAAGAAAGAAAGAAAGAAAGAAAGAAAGGAGAGAAGAGGAGGAAGGGAGGGAGAGAGAGAGAGAAAGAAGAGAGAGAGAGAAAGTGAAAGAAAGAGAAAGAGAAAGAGAAAGAGAAAGAGAAAGAGGGAAGGAAGGAAGGAAGGAAGGAAGGAAAGAAAGAAAGAAAGAAAGAAAGAAAGAGAGAAAGAGAGAAAGAGAGAAAGAAAGAAAGAAAGAAAGAAAGAGAGAAAGAGAGAAAGAGAGAAAGAAAGAAAGAAAGAAAGAAAGAGAGAAAGAGAGAAAGAGAGAAAGAAAGAAAGAAAGAAAGAAAGAGAGAAAGAGAGAAAGAGAGAAAGAAAGAAAGAAAGAAAGAAAGAGAGAAAGAGAGAAAGAGAGAAAGAAAGAAAGAAAGAAAGAAAGAGAGAAAGAGAGAAAGAGAGAAAGAAAGAAAGAAAGAAAGAAAGAGAGAAAGAGAGAAAGAGAGAAAGAAAGAAAGAAAGAAAGAAAGAGAGAAAGAGAGAAAGAGAGAAAGAAAGAAAGAAAGAAAGAAAGAGAGAAAGAGAGAAAGAGAGAAAGAAAGAAAGAAAGAAAGAAAGAGAGAAAGAGAGAAAGAGAGAAAGAAAGAAAGAAAGAAAGAAAGAGAGAAAGAGAGAAAGAGAGAAAGAAAGAAAGAAAGAAAGAAAGAGAGAAAGAGAGAAAGAGAGAAAGAAAGAAAGAAAGAAAGAAAGAGAAGGGGAGGGAGGGAGGGAGGGAGGGAGGGAGGCATACCCTTTTTTCACTGCCTTGTAATCTGCACAACCCAGGCTAACCTGCCCTCTGGATCGAAACTGCAGCGGGTTTGCAAAGAAATTGTGGGGAGAAAGAAAAGAGGCAATACTGAAGTCTGTGGTTTGTCAGACTCCCTTGCCTTCTCGAGGCGAATTGGAATTGCGCTTCCAGAAAGCAGGGCCCAATGTGAGCCAGTGGCAAGAAAGCAAAGTCATTAGGAACAGAGTTGGTTGAATTCCTCTGGGGCAGTGGAGGAAGAAAGGGGGAGAACAGGGGGGAAAATGGACCCGGGTTCTCCAAGTCATGCTTGCTGTCTTGGACTCTAGTTGCTTGCAAAGCCCCTATGTGGAAGAGTAGAACTGAACAGGCCTTCACCTGTCTGATGGCCCAGTGACCAGACCTAAGATCTCATCCTCTCTATGGACATTTCTCCTGCTCTTCAGCAAACTCTTGCTGAAAGGTCTGAAACAGGCTCTGGGAAGCCCTTTCTGGCCAATCTGCTGTTCTTCAAGCAAAGGGGAGCTGCTTGAAAGCATCCAGAAATATGACCTCCACCACAACATAAAAATGGGCTCTTCGTTGGTTTGAATTGCTTCGCTCCTTGGCAAAGAAATTCAGGCTTCAGGAGGGCCAATATGGAAGAAACGGAACTAGTCTTTGAAGCAGGTAGCAAGACACTTACGCGCTCTTTATTCCCACTCTAAATCCCTAGAAAGAAAAAAGGTGGCTGAATTTCCAAGACAGGTTGACCCAAATCTAAGTCCCATTATGCCCAATGGGACTTGTACCAAATTCAGCCTTTGTGGGTTTGTGATCCAAACTGGAAAGTGGTGGATTACATTGGGATTTTTTTATCCTCTGGAGGGGCACCTGGTGATGATCCTTCCTCCTTCTTCTCCTTCACCTCGACCTTCTCCTCCTTCCTATTATTATTACCAGCCCAGTCAAAAGGAAAGAACTGCCATTCTCCCCATCCTCCGTCTGATTGCAGTATTAAAGAGTGGCTCAACTTTACCAAACTTATGTGGCGATGTTTCCCAGGCTGGAACCAGCTTTGAAACAAAATCTTCCTTCAATCCCCATAAAATCAAATCAGGAGCAGATTGTTTGGGAAAGCTGGAATAGAATTTGCCCCGGTTGAACCGAACAGTGGAGGGCCCGTAAGAGGTTGGTCCAGCCTATATTCCGACGTGCCCTCCAAGACAGACACACATAGGTTATAAATCTAGGCGCAAACCCCATTAGATTAAGTATTGGACTGTAGCAAATGGGTCAAGACTATTCTTCTGCAGTTTGATTAAGGCAGGTAAAGAGTTGAGAGTAAAACATGAGTAATGGACAGTGCGTTCCATTCATTCCAAGTAGCCGTGCATTTGTGTGTGTGTGTGTGTGTGTGTGCGTGTGCACACACTCATGGGGGGAGTTAGCCAAGCCAAAAAAACCACAGCAGTTGGTAATTAGCTAAGACTGAGCAAGGAGTAAGGAAATGACCACAGGAACCTCATTGTCCCCTAAGGGACCCCTAATCCTTCATCTGAATGGCCACAGATTGGAAGCACAAACTCTAAAGCAGATTTTAAAAAGTGCCAGCCTCCTTGTGAGATAACGTAGCCTCTCCCTTCTGTTTCTGCAGAGATCTGTGCAGAAGCATTATTCGCTAGTTGGGATCTGAGTTGTTGTTGTTTTTTTAAAGGGAAGGCAGGCACACTTCAATAAATAAGGTTTTCTCCCAGCCTTCCATGGATTTTTCCCTCTTTCCTGTTATCCTTTGTGTGGGAGAACACAAAGACCTACTCCCGAAGGTCAACCCAAGTCCTCAACCCAGAGTTTAAATCCTGGTCTGTCTTGCCAGCCATTAAATTACGCTGCTTGTCCCAAACTTAAATGTGTTCGCAGTGTCCCCTTCTGGATCCTTACTCCTGTTCTCTTTCTTTCTTCGTCATTTTTTTTACTAGATCACCCAGTTAAAAATCGACAACAACCCTTTTGCCAAAGGCTTCCGAGACACAGGAAATGGGAGACGAGAGAAAAGGTAAGGGTAAATTTCTATTTGCCTTTCCTTTCTGGTGTCATCCGGATGAACCTGTCCAAAAGTCCATTAAAAAAAAAAAAAACTAAAATAGAAACCTCCCTTCTTTTTAGTCCCCACCCTAAAATAGCCAATTGTGGTGTGAACACCAGGCAAAAAGTAGGATTGGAAGCTTAAAAAAATAAGTTTACTTTTGCAAATGTGCAAAATTCTGTTAGCTGCTACTCAGGAGAAACTCTCTGCCAAGTGTGAAAGTAGAGCTTATAACACATGGTTCCTATTGGTAACATTAGGGAAAAAAACACCAAAAAACAGAACAGAAAGGGGGTGGAGAATCAGGGGCAATAGATAGCCAAAATGATTTTGAAAAACTTTCAACAGGGATTTTGATGGAAGTCCTTCTTGAGTTTCTTCCAAAGATGATTGTGGTGTAGGAAATCACAACATTTATATCCTGGCAGTGTAAGATTTAGTATAAGTGGTGCAAAGGAACAAGGGGGAAACCCACACTGATCTGCTTCTGTGACCAGTAGCTCTTATATGTTATCTAATTCCCAAGCAGTGGAAAAGTACCGTGCTTACAAGAGAGATTTCTAGTGGGAATATATATTCCTAGACAGATTTTCCAGTTTTTTTGCATACATTGTTTCTAAAGCAAGAGTTATGTCTTTTGGGCTTATAGTGGACATGACCTTAGTGCGATGTCTTTAAGATCTTCTCTTCTCCCTCCTTTTATTTATTTATTTGTTTGTTTGTTTAAGTCCTTCACTTTGGCCGCCCAACACATATTTATTTACAAATTTGCTCACAGGAAGTGGTAGGGCTGATTGAAATATTTCTGTGGCAAGGAAGATGTGAAAAAGAGGAGCAGGAGAACACAAGGTTTTCGTGGACAGTAGGAGAATGAACATCTAAATTCAAGCTATGCGATATTTTTAAACAACAGTTATTTTCTTGCAGCTATTAAAAGAGCAGAGATCTGAGAATCTCCCTGATCTTTTAAAGAGTCAGTTGTTTAGGGATTTCGTTTCCTCTCCACCACCTTCAAGATTTGCATCTCCCCCACCCACACAAACTGGGATCATCAGTGGCTTCATTTCCATATGCTTGATTGATTAAATCCATCTTCCTGGTTTTGGGGGACTTCAGACCTTACAGGCTGCATTTACACAAAATGGCTAATCGGATCAAGGAAATGCGTAGCTATTTCATGGTTAGGGGTAAACTATATTTTCTGATGCTTTGGCTGGTGTGTGAACTCCTTCTTCTTGGTTAGGTTGAGTTTCGATAAAATCCGGTTGAACGTGTCATCTGAACTCACTCATAGATACCTGGAGCCACAAACTGGCCAGCCACCTTTTATTTGGGGCACTGTGCAATGTTTAGTCAGTTTATGGTTTAGGACGTCATGCAAAATCAGAAATAAATGGGTTAATGGAATAAACCATGGTTCAATTAAGCTTAGATCAATGTAGTATGCTAACAAAGTCATACAGAAGTGCTATAAAGATTTGGTATGACAACTTCAAGGTGAACATCCACAATTTAAGACAAGACTAGGCATCTTGGTGCCTTCTGGATGATTACAAAAAAGAATGAGATTTGTAATCCAAAATATTTTATGTTGAGTGTCCAGTCTTACTTTGAGAGCTTCATCCCACCATGGTCTCAGCCCTGGGAACAAGGTTCTTTACTCAAAAGTAAGCCAACCTTAGTACCATAAACCACCTTTTCTTTAGCCCATTCTAAAATAGAGCTCTTGGCTGATTTGAAGATCTCTTGATTTCTCTAAACACTCCAGATGACTTGATTTAAGCTATTGCAGACTGGAATTTGCTGAGAGAGGAAAGTATCAAATGCAAGCCACAAGCCGGGTCAAGACCCACATTCTAAACCTTAATGGGATTGACTGGTTTTGGCTTAGTGCAGTTGGGGAATCCAGATGTTGTGGCTCAAACCAGCCACAGTTTATGGGTTAGCATGTTGTGTGAAGCTGATCACTGTGGCGGGTTGGACCATACTTGGCTAATATGCTGGTCTATGACGTAATAAAGATTTTATTTTATTTATTTTATTTACTTGGCTAAACCAAGGATGCCCTGAATGGTTGATGAATCCATCGCACCAAAAGTCAGCAACTCAGCAGCCGTTTTAATCTCTCCTAATTCTTCTTCCTCTTCTCCTTCTTCCTCTTCTCCTTCCTCTTCTCCTCCTCCTCCTCCTCCTCCTTCTCCTTCTAGAAAACAACTGACTCTTCAGTCAATGAGAGTTTATGATGAGAGGCAGAAAAAAGAGACTTCAGATGAGTCTTCGAGTGAACAAACAGCTTTTAAATGTTTTGCTCAATCAACATCTCCTGCTGTGTCTGCAGTGGGTACCTCTAACCTTAAAGGTAAGTGGTTTTCCCCTCCTTTTCCCCATTTGGAGTAAGAGGGAGCTCTCCCACTCTCCTATTTCTGAGATATTAATTTTTCATACTCTGGGGGTCAGAAGAAGTTTGGCTAGAAATCAGCTTCTTGGCTGGAGGGGATTAAAAAAAAAAACTCTCTGATTTTGAAAACGAATCTTCTTGAAAACACTCCAGATGTTAAAATTCCACTTTGTTTCCCCCTTTTTCTCCCTGTATCTATATTTTATGTGTGGTTTGAACACAAGACAAACCCACATTGGCTGAAGCAGAGGAGCAGGGAGACCAGAGGGACAAAAGTTCAGAAGTGCCTCCTTCCCATGAATTATGAATTTTCAAATGCCCAGTTAAGGGTGCAAATCCCTCCAAACTTCCCCTTTTCCTTCAAAACCCCACCTGACTGCAAAGTGAATGGCAATAAACCCTGATCTAGCATGAATATTGGGTCTGGAATGGGAGCTAAAAGGTGGGATTGCTGTGCATTTCCCATGTGCATGTCAGCACGGCAGCCGTAACCATCTAGATGGCTTTCTCGGAGTTTGCTATGCAGAAGGAATGCACATTTTATTTGACACACTCGTTTTTTAAAAAGTTTGAACTTTGGCTCTCTCTCTCTCTGTGAGCCTCTGTGTGTGTGTGTGTGTGTGTGTGTGTGTGTGTGTGTTCAGGCGGGCAGACAGCAGACATTGTCCAAGAAGCCAGATTCCAACTTCATGATTCTTGCTCAGAATGGAAAGACGCCTTCTATTCCAAGACCAGAGGATTAATAAAACCTGGGATAAATAAAAGTTGAGGAATTAATACCATCCTTCCTCTGTCCTTGAGCCTCATCTCACACACTTCAGAGGGCAGTTTATTGTAAAAATAAGAAGACTGTTAATTCTGTAAACCAGAACTAAATGGGCTAACTTATCAGGATAAGCTAGGATTCAGGAAGCCCTGAATGTCAAACACGCCATATTATTTGTGATCTATTTAGCACTGCTTTCTACTTTCCTGGATTATCCTCAGACGGATTTTTTCTTCAAGAAAATATCACTGCCTAGAGAAGACACATGAAGCTGGAGAAAATGGTGGGCTGGAATCGCTTTCTCTGGCCTCCCTTCTGTGTTATGCAGGAGTACTGCCAGGCCCAGGTAGATCAAACTTCAGTGAAAATTAGATCAGAGTCTTGAGTTCAAGTTGACAAAGTCAAGAAGAAAAGCAAAGTGTGAGCGTGTGAACTCCATCTTTCTGGCCTACCCAATTAAGTTAGGAAGTTCTGCTCTCCGCAGTTGGGAGAAGAAGGCCACCTCTTCTGAGAAACATCTGATGGAGCACAACTGGGAAGCCTTTTCCCTCCCCTTGGTGTCTTTCTTCCTCTTCCACCCTCTCTCTTTCTCTTTTCAGATTTGTGCCCCAGCGATGGAGAAAGTGACTCTGAAAGCAAAGAGGACCCCATGGAAGCCAATGAAGTTGGGAAGATCTCTACCACCACTGCCAACATTGCCCCCAACAGCAGCTCCTCCTTCGGAGGAGGAGGGGATGGGGCAGACCCTCGGGAAGGGGAAAAGAACAGCCCTTCCAAGGCACCCCTTTTTCCACCAGACTCCGCCAGCAGCCAGAGCAGCCGGGAGAGCGTCTCTAAAGTGCCTCCAGACTCCCAGCATAGCCCAGCCACCATCTCTTCTAGCACCCGGAATTTGGGCGGTGGAGAGGAGCTTAAGAGCCCACCACGGGAGGAGTGCCGGGGCCTGAACAAAGAGCCCTTCACACCCCTAACTGTTCAGACAGACAGTCCTGGGCACCTGGCCCAAAGCCACTTGTCCAACCTAAGTTTTCCCCATGGCCTGGCCAGCCAACCATTCTTCAACCCGCTGAGCAACGGGCACCCCTTTCTTCTCCATCCTGGCCAGTTCACCATGGGTGGTGCTTTCTCAGGCATGGCTGGCATGGGACCTCTGCTGGCCACAGTCTCCGGGGCGTCAGCGGGAGTTACTGGTCTAGACAACACCGCGATGGCAACAGCAGCTGCCCAGGGATTAACTGGCGCTTCGGCGGCAGCTGCAGCAGCAGCATTGCCCTTCCATCTTCAGCAGCACGTCCTGGCTTCACAGGTAAACTACTGGTGTGTGTGTGTGTGTGTGTGCGTGCACACGCGCGTTCTCCCATCCCCAAAGCAGGTGTCAAATGGCTATTTTAGAGTCCAGCGGATCAGAGCATTGCTTGGATGGTGGTTTTCCATCTGTAGCGTCCATTCTTCTTTGCTTCTTTGCTTTCTCCCCAACCTCACAGCGACAAAAGTGGCTTCAGTGATTACTACCCTGGTTGTGGGTTGTCCCTTGGGGCAGCCGGCTTCACTGTGGTGTGCAAACCAAGTCTTGATGGTTATACAGCTGGGGTTTCTGGCCTAGACTGATGTGGGATCCCGGCCATTTGGGGTTGGATCCCTAAACGTTGGTTGAGAAAACCATCCATTCCTTAGTGGGATGGATGGAGAAGACCTTACACATGGACGCTAGAGAGGGTGTCTCTCAGAGATTAAGGAAAGGGTTTAAAGAACAGTCAGCTCCTTTCTTCCTCTGTGGAGAAGAGGCAAATGCAATTTAAAAAATTAAGGAGCAATTTGCAGGGATGGGCAGATCTTCTGCTCGGGGCTTTTAAAGGCTCTGCTTGCAGTGGGGAGGGACATTCGTTGCTCCACTTCCGCGGGGAGTATGTGTGATTCTCCCATTTTTTTAAAAAAAATATTTCCCTCCCTCCTCCTCAACTTCAGGAAGGTAGAGGTGGGCTGGAGACAGGGATTGGAAAAGAGATTCTTCAGCCAGATTTGCCACTGAAATTTCCCCAGTCCCATGCAATGTGTTTAACTTGGTTAAGGAAGGAGCTAGCACAACTCGCCAAGCTTGGCTGCTGTTAAATTGGGCTCAGTTTTCTGCCGCTCAGCACTGGCGCGTTCCCAACCCATTGGGTTTATTTAAGGTATGTGTGAACTCCAGAAACAGGTTGATTCAGAAATCGGCTTACAGGCCCGCAATCAAGTATCAGCTTGTGTACCTTCCCATCTGGTACAGAAGCGTCTAGAAAACTAACTCTGCCTCCTGTCTCTTCAGGAGCTTTTCTTCTTTTCCTTCTGGGTCTGAAACTAAACAGGGATTCTTCAGCGCCCAGCCAAAGGGCTAGAGGGATGGGGGGCCCCAAGGGCCCAAAAGGCCACCTAGGGTCCCACTTCTATCCTTGGCGGTGGTTTTCTAGACACTGCGCCGAGAGCTTCTCTCAACTCCTCTGGCTACAGGGATAGACTTGGGCATTGGCCCAGGGCTTTCCGCGAGGGTGCTCAGCACCTTGAGAAAGATGGATGACTGAAAGGGGATCGGAGCACAGCCTGACTTGGCGAGGGGTTCAGCTCAGCCTCTGCTGCTCGCTAGCCAGAGAAGAAGTGGGATTTGGCTGAGAAAAGCATTTGGCAAGCTTGGGGGCTGGTTTAGCATCTCAGGGTGTCCCAGGGCGCCACTTGGCAGCCCCCCCCCAGCCCCGGAGCCCTGTGGATCACCTTGTGAGGAGAGCGGGGAGGGCCTTGGCGCCTCTGATGACTTTTTTTTTTTACCCAGATGACTCCTATCCTATTTGTTCTGGGCAAAGGCCCAGTGGCCTGGAAGCCCCACTTTCTTAGCTGGGTGTGATTTCTTCCTGGGATACAGAAGCCTCTGAAATGAGGCTCCTCTCCCCCTTGAGGTTGTGGGGCCTCTGGAGGGCTACAAGTCCCCCTTTCAGGTGCAACCCGGTGTAAATATATTTCACGTCGGCGCCTGTGTGCAAAAGCGAGACTCTGAAGAAACAGGAGAAACCGAATTTATCTATGACACGCACACAGAGACACACAGGTCCACGAGAGCCAGGGACCTCTAAGCCCTGCATCCTTAACCTGAGACCTCTCCTCTGCTGTGCTCTGAGGCGAGTTCCGCTCCACCAAACTATGGTTTACGATCTTGATCTTCGTTTGGAGGCTTGCCCCCACCGGACCCCACCACATCAGCAAGCCACACCAGGGCTCGGTTTGCACAAGGGGGCAGGTTCCCCAGGGGTGGGTCGCGGGAAGGCGGCTAGGCTGTTGACCGGCGCCTGGGCTGGCCGCTCTTCTGGGGGCCGTT